TCTACTCTACTCGAGTCACTCTACTCTACTCGAGTCGACTCTACTCTACTCGAGTCGACTCTACTCTACTCTACTCTACTCTACTTTACTCTACTCTACTCTACTCTACTCTGCTCGACTCTACTCTACTCTACTCTACTCTACTCTACTCTACTCTACTCTACTCTACTCTACTCTACTCTGCTCTACTCGAGTCGACTCTACTCTACTCTACTCTACTTTACTCTACTCTACTCTACTCTGCTCTGCTCGACTCGACTCTACTCTACTCTACTCTACTCTACTCTACTCTACTCTACTCTACTCTACTCTACTATACTCCACTCTAATCTACTCTACTCTACTCTGCTCGACTCTACTCTACTCTACTCTACTCTACTCTACTCTACTCTACTCTACTCTACTCTACTCTACTCTACTCTACTCTACTCTACTCTACTCTACTCTACTCTACTCTACTCTACTCTACTCTACTCCACTCCACTCTACTCTACTCTACTCTACTCGACTATACTACACCACACCACACCACACTATACTATACTATACTATACTATACTATACTATACTATACGATACCATATCATATACTATACATGACTGTATATATAGTCCATGGGCCAGAGGAGATATCGATACCACCTGAGGTGGCAAATTCTCATCAAAAAACTAATCATGATCACTTATGACTTCCACTAATAAACATGATTTTTGCAGTAGAAATTTCAAAATTGCACGTCCCCTGCACTTCTAGGCTGAGTTTATAATTTGGCACCCAAAACAAAACGCGCTACAGACGATCGCGCGTGATCAAGTCTTTAGTTTATTATCTTCAGCTATTTCTTTTCGTTCACAACAACGTGTTGTAAATTTTTATCTAACACCCTATCGGCGTCCGTCGGCATGCTTTCTTGATTTACCGATAGTATACGCCAAAATGTATCAGGGGTTCACGCCATTTCTAGCAGAAAATTTACTAAAGCGGAGTGATGATTATTTCTATTGTACATCCATGCGCTGTAGGGCCATGTACAGAAAACGTTAACGACATGTACTAAGTATAAACTTCGGGAAACTCATAGACCCCGGCGTTCATATCAAGCTTTGCATATCCTGCTAGATTCTTTAGCGGCGGTCAATCTATATAGCCTGGTGCGGACGCAAAATAGTCTGCTATGTAAAGCCAGACTCGCAAAGTCCCATGGCAATATGTGTAAACAAACACAACAAAACTGCTTATAGATTGCCATACCTATTTTCTTAGGTTGGATACTCCATTGTGACGATAATTAGTCAGGACACGAGACGTTTCCAACAGTGGGAAATCCTGGACACTTCGCGTGTCCCATTGTGTGCACAGGTTTCCTACAGCGGACACGCCGGGATGGGATACCCGTGGAAAGCTATGTACACGGCTGGGACATGCCAGGTTTCACTAACGTGTCCCAGCTTGGAAACTTGTGGAAATTCGGTTTTCCGTCCAGTGATTTCCCCACCTTTAATACACGATGATCTTGTCGAGGTCAAAATCCTCCCTGTCTCAATCTTCTTACTCGTATTTACATGTAGCTATGTGTGAACGTCTAAAACCACCGATATAATTATAACAAAAACCAAAATAGAAAAGTAAACAGAGAAAGTACCGAGATCGAATTGCATCGATCGCGCAAACGTTGACCTACTTCTTTTACGTCATTGCGGTGGCCAATTTGTGAACGCTAGGCGCTAGCCATAATTTTGAACAGCCGGCGCCCCTCTAAACTACGGTGGACTAACGAACTAAGTGTAGGGACTGCAAGGACAGGAAAACAATGTAACATCCCATTATTACCTTCACCAAAGTTTCATTTTTGATCGTAGTTTGTTGTTTGTGTACGTTTGTTTGTAAACACGATTATTCTAAAAAGCTGGTTTGTTTAATAATAAAAATGTGGGTAGGTCTTGATGAGACTAGTTATTGCATACAGTGCTACATAAATACGTGCAAGTACAAGTCTACACTATCTACACCATGTACAAGTCTACACCATCTTACAGCTATCGAATACGGCGATAAATAATGTGTGTGTGTGTGTTTTAAATAAATTTACAATCAGTTAACTCACCATTTCTGCAGAATTGAAACGACCCTAGTAAAATGTAAATTTGGACCCGGAAAATTCATTTTGACCGGAGTTGATGAAAAAAAAATTACATGGATAACAACTTATATGCTGAAATGCACTTGCTAACCTAGTTTAGCACACCTTAGAATGCTAAAATCCGCAGGGTTTTCGGTATGAAATGCAATGAAAATAGCTTCCGTTGTAAGTAACAAAAAATGTGTATTTAATTCACAGCTATAGACTATAGGGGGCTTAGTCTTGAGACTTTTTGAATGAACCGACATGTTAGTGGTAATTCTATTTCAAATTGAGTTGTGGTTGTTTATGCACGACAAATACGGACTCAAACACGGAGCCCGTGGCTCATTGCCAATATCACCAACTTCATATTCAGCATACAGTAAACAAAATTAGGGTACAGGACACAGTGACGACGGGCTCAAGTTACGTAACTTATGTTAGCGCCGCCACTTCATACATTACATTACCTCATTTCTCACGCCTCTGAATTAGGCTATTACCGGTGGTATTACCGGTGGTTCAACTTCTGTGTCAGCGCTTAGTTGGCGACGTCCTCATTACTGCAACACCGACAGCAGCTATGGACACCCTACTGTCAGCAGTCTGCGTTTCAATCCTCCTCTTTGCTGTACCCGTCAGTGGAGGTATGTTATCTTACATGTACTTCCCAGACATTTTGATTATCGAACCCGGTGCAATGCGTGTGTTTTGCACGACGAGTATGGCTCTCCCCAAACACATCCTATCCGTGGGGCGTCCCTGGCCGAAGCTAGGTACTCATTTCTACATTGTGTGAAGTGAAGAAAGTCGTGTAAAGTGCATTTCTCCTGCAGTCTCTTAGTGTCATGGCGGAAGATAAGGATGATACAATTTAGTCAAAAAGCTCCTGTTGTTTTAGAACAGGAGCTTAACTGGGGCTGGGGCTAGGGCTGGGGGCGTCAAGTGCCTGAGAATTCTACCCGTAGTTCTACCTGTTGAGGGTGGGAATGTACATACTTTTTCTCTTTCGTACGTATAGCTGTCACTTTAAGATTGATGATAAACCGTTCTTATGGAAGGTAATGCTAGATCAGGGATTCTGTTCGTACATGTATGCAATTTTGGATGCAGAAAGGAAAGTGCTATCCTATAGAGCATCAAGTTTGAAATTTAATGTAACGATTTCGGATTCTGTTCATAATAGATTGATATAAGCAGTCTCCCAGTCTAGCTAACTGAAATGCCGGAAAATACAAACTTGTAATGTAATGTAAAAGTATGCAGACCTATGTTAAAAAGAAGTTTAAGTGGTTAAGTGGTCTTAAAAACAACAAAAAAGTGTACAGTTTTTTCTTAGAAAACCACGACTTAAATGATCACCCTATGAATGTAATGACTTACTGGGAGGATGAATTGAATGACACAATGCCATGAAAGGAGATTTTCCTTATCATTTATAATTAATATAAAAGTAACAATCGACCCCCTCCGACCGGAATCTTTCAATTCAAATTAGTACACAAAATGTTATCAACAAAAAGACTTTTAGACATTTGGAAACTAAAAGAATCTCCACTGTGTGCTCTTTGTGCAGAAGATGATGAAACACTAAAACAACTTTTTTGGGGGGATTGCAGAAAGATATTTAATTTTTAGTGGTGTGTCTAGAAATGGTTTAACCAAAACACAGGACTTTATCTTAATGTCGATACCCCGATACACATTCTGTTGGGGTACCATAGAGAATCGATGCCACTTGTATGAAATTTAATGATATTACTGGGTAAAGTATTCATCTTCAAAAATCATCAGTCCACATTTATTTCTCTGTATAATCAGTCCACATTTATTTCTCTGTATAATTTTGTTTCATTTGTCAACCATTTCAAAACCATAGAAGAAAATATTGCACGAAAACAAAATAGCGTAATCAGTCACAACAGAAAATGGATTGAACTTTCAAATACGGATATTATGTAATATGTAATTTAGTATGTGTGCAGCGTTATTTTGATGTTGTCTTTGTTTATTTCTTTTGTTTTGTCGAGTAAAGATTTCAAAGAAATAAAAAAAAGGCCAGGTATTGATCACTGTGGGTCGGTTTCCTGTATACCTCAAAGCGATAGTTTTGGTGTCAAGGACGGGGAGCATGTTGTCATGACTCGGCTCCTGTGCGAGCTTGATGTTGTCATCTGCGTAGTTGATGTGGTCAAAGAAATAAATAGCTACAGAAAACGTTGAAAAATGTTACGTTTTTCTTTGTTTTAGAACTTCCGTCCTGGTCAGCATCCTCAGAGTTTGATCATGTGTCGACACATGAGTTAAGCTCAGCTGACCGCGCAGATATCAACACCCGCGAAACTGCAGATGCAGCAGGTGCATGGATAGCAGCAACCAATGACCAGGACCAATGGCTGATGAGGGACCTTGGTGACGTGAGCGTCATCACCGGCGTCATCACCAAAGGCAGGAACTACAGCCCTGATTGGCCCTACGAAATACACGACCAATACGTCACATCCTACGTCATTTCATACGGCAACGAAAATGGCGATGAGACGTTCTACACCGATGCTGATGGGCAAGTTACTGTAAGAATCATTCCTCCTTTTAGTGGAATAGTTTTCGACTAAGATCTTTGCATGTTCAAATCTTATTCCTAAATTGAATATAGATACTATAATGTCGCCCCTTACCTTGCCCATTTTTGTTCAAAGCAAATTGAAGATGGATTTCACATTGTCATGGAATGCTCTAGATGTGATGGTTTGCGTAAGCTATTCACATTTCTTTATTCCATAACAACAGATTTCAAGAGACTCACTCGATAGTACAGATAGATTTAAATCATGGTTAGCCTCAATTGATTGTTACACTGTATCAAAGATTTATGCTTGCCCTTGTTGTTTTAGTAATAAGGATTTCACGTTATATCATGTAACTTTTTTCTATGTTCATTGGCTTATTACCTACATGAAAAATGGAGGTATTGTTTTTGGCGTGTCTGTCTGTATGTATGTCTGTGTGTCTGTCTGTCTGTGTGTGTGTCTGTGTGTGTGTCTGTGTGTGTTTCCGCAACTTTGTAGTCAGCATAACTTCAGAACGCCTTTATGGATTGTGATGATATTTGGTATGATGGTAAGTCTTGGAAAGACAAAGGTCAAGGTCAAGTATGGGCCTCCTGGTGGACGACCTTGGTACTGCAGCAAAACTTCCGGTTTTTGTATCTTTTGTCCTGAAAAAGCTATGGTCTTGACTTTTTGGTGACAGATAGCTTATCCTGTTAGGAATAACTGGCGTAAGTTTGGTCCCCCTAGCAGCTTGTTCTGGAACTGCAGGTTAGTTTCTGGTAAATCTTTCAAAGCCAATAAGTCCAGATTGGAACAACGTATTTTCATAATTTTTGGTGTGTAGGTACCTGAGAGACAGTTGTTTATGATTAAATGCAAATTATGCAAATGGGGACTTTATTTGCATAATTAATGAGGAAATTCTATAATTACAGTGTTTTACATTATACTACTTTCATACATGTAATGTATGTAAGCTATGGCAGGCGGAGCATCAACAAATACTAATTATGCAAATTATGACCTAATTTGCATAATTAATGCGAAAATTCTATGATTTCTTAATGGTGAATGATGGGAATGTCATACTTGGGACATCTGTAAGTTAATCAAAAGTTAACATACATCACGATGTATATATTATGTTAATGCAGAGGTCATTTGCATAATTAAAGAAGAAATTTACATTTACATATCGAGCCCATATTTCATGGAGGTATGAAGTCTCGGAATTCTTGTTTCTTTTGCCATACATTGCCGTGAAATCAACCTCTCATAAAGTGTGGATGTGGTTGTTTCCAAATATAGGGCTTGATTTTCTTGGCATGTAGGCGATATCCTTACAAATCAAATTAAACCAAAGCAACTTTATTGCTTAACAACTGTAACTGGTACATTTTATGGCAAAGAAGAAAACTTACAACATAAATGAACTATACTAAATACAATTTTAGCTCAGGTAATCCATAATGATACCAAAGCTAATCTAGTGTATGTTTTCTTGAGGAGAGAATTTTTTATTTACAGTCTATAATTTATTCAGGACATACGTCAGTTATTTACAATATGGTGTCACTTTTGTAGTGATTTGGATATGAATTTTCCAACGTACACTGATATCTGAGTAGGGCATTAAAGGAGCATATATCTGGGGTACCCCATATTTTGAATGGGGTAATGTAACATCAGTTTTTGAAGCTATGGATTGCACCAGCTTTTCTCTGTTTTCTTCATGATGCAGGTTTTTCAGGCGAATGACGACAGAGACACGGAGGTCTACAACGACTTCGGAGACTTCAGTGGCCGCATAACTGCGCGCTTCGTCAAAATCCATCCGCGAACATGGCATCACTACATCTCCATGCGGGCGAAGATTGTGACAGGTTAGAACCGTAATACTGTCATAGGGGGAGGTGTAGGTGTACAATTTTTGAAATAAAAAAGCAGGCTTGGGGAAATACGCCGCTAGGGATATGGACACTTGCATGTGAACATTTAGTCTATTATTAAATTCCCTCCCATTCATATCGTCTAAAATTTGTGCCACTTCAATGCATCAAACTACCCATACAGCCATGCTTAAAAAAAGTTAATGTTCTAAAGCTAGTACAATATTTTGGCATTCTTTGGCAAAAAATCTGAGGTCAGATGACATCACAATGAATATCTCAACCCAAAAATCTATTACCAATGCAAATATGGACTATTATAATGTCGCCCTATTGCAAAAATCAACTATAATTACAAAATCACAACATATGCCAATGGAATACTCTTATTCTGCAGTAGACTGGATACCAGGTCACCATATTTGACACCTGACTTGTTCAATTTAAAGCATAGAAAAAAAAACATCGCTTAGGTATTCATCTCCATGCAGATTCTAGGGTGGCAAAAGACAGTATCAAATTGGCCAGACAGAATCCATTTGCCAAAGAGTCAACCTAATCGATTTGGGATTTTTTAATGTATTTTCTCATCTCATCTATCACTTAGTCTAATTATTCGACTTTTAGGAATTCAAAGGCATGTCGAAACAATAAAACAACCTTTTTGGGGGGATTGCAGAAAGATATTTAATTTTTAGTGTTGTGTCTAGAAATGGTTTAACCAAAACACAGGACTTTATCTTAATGTCGATACCCCGATACACATTCTGTTGGGGTACCATAGAGAATCGATGCCACTTGTAAGAAATTTAATGATATTACTGGGTAAAGTATACATCTTCAAAAATCATCAGTCATAATTTATTTCTCTGTATAATCAGTCCACATTCATTTCTCTGTATAATTTTGTTTCACTTGTCAACAATTTCAAAACCATAAAGGAGAATATTGCACGAAAATAAAATAATTTAATGTCACTACAGAAAATGGATTGAGCTTTCAAATACGAATAGTATGTAATATGTAATTTAGTATGTGTGTAGCGTTATTTAACTGTTGTCTTTGTTTATTTCTTTTGTTTTGTTGAGTAAAGATTTTAAAAAAATAAAAAAAAGGCCAGGCATTGATCACTGTGGGTCGGTTTCCTGTGTACCTCAAAGCGATAGTTTTGGTGTCAAGGACGGGGAGCATGTTGTCATGACTCGGCTCCTGTGCGAGCTTGATGTTGTCATCTGCCTAGTTGATGTGGTCAAAGAAATCAATAGCTACAGAAAGCGTTGAAAAATGTTACGTTTTTCTTCGTTTTAGAACTTCCGTCCTGGTCAGCATCCTCAGAGTTTGAGGCACCTGAGTCAACCTCAGCCGACCGCGCAGATATCAACACCCGCGAAACTGCAGATGCAGCAGGTGCATGGATAGCAGCAACCAATGACCAGGACCAATGGCTGATGAGGGACCTTGGTGACGTGAGCGTCATCACCGGCGTCATCACCAAAGGCAGGAACTACAGCCCTGATTGGCCATACGCCGGCACACATGACCAATACGTCACATCCTACGTCATTTCATACGGCAATGAAAATGGCGATGAGGCGTTCTACACCGATGCTGACGGACAAGTTACTGTAAGAATCATTCCTCCTTTTAGTGAAATAGCTATCCACTAAGATCTTTGCATGTTCAAATCTTATTCCTAAATTGAATATAGAAACAGGCAGATATCATAATTTCGCTCCTTACCTTGTCCATTTTTGTCCGGAGCAAATTGAAGATGAATTTCACTTTGTCACGGAATGCTCTATATATGATGTTTTGCGTAATCTATTTACATTTCTTTATTCTATAACAACAGATTTCAAGAGAGTCGATGCTACAGATAGCTTTAAATATATCTTTATATCATGGTTAGCCTCAATTGATTGTTTGACTATATCAAAGATTTATGCTAGCCCTTGTTGTTTTAGTAATAAGGATGTTAAGTATATCATGTAACATTTTCTATGGTTATTGTTTTGTTCCTTTTGTCATACATTGCCGTGCAATCAACTTCTCATAAAGTGTCGATGTGGTCGTTTCCAAATAGGGCTTGATATTCTTGGTATGTAGGCAATACCCTTACAAATCGAATCAAATCGAACCAAAGCAACTTTATTGCTTAACAACTGTAACTGGTAGAAAAAGAAGAAAAAACAACATAAATGAACTATACTAAATACAATTCTAACTCAGGTAATCCATAATGATGCCAAAGCTAATCTATTGTATGTTTTCTTGAGGGGAGAATTTTTTATTTACAGTCTATAATTTATTCAGGACATACGTCAGTTATTTACAATATGGTGTCACTTTTGTAGTGATTTGGATATGAATTTTCCAACGTACACTGATATCTAAGTAGGACATGAAAGGAGCATATATCTGGGGTACCCCATATTTTGAATGGGGTAATGTAACATCAGTTTTTGAAGCTATGGATTGCACCAGCTTTTTTCTGTTTTCTTCATGATGCAGGTTTTTCAGGCGAACGACGACAGAGACACGGAGGTCTACAACGACTTCGGAGACTTCAGTGGCCGCATAACTGCGCGCTTCGTCAAAATCCATCCGCGAACATGGCATGACTACATCTCCATGCGGGCGAAGATTGTGACAGGTTAGAACCGTAATACTGTCATAGGGGGAGGTGTAAGTGTAAATTCTTTGAAAAAAAATGCAGTTTTGGGTGAAATACGCCGCTAGGAATATTGACACTTGCATGTGAACATTTGGTCGATTATTAACCCCCCCCCTCCCATTCATACCGTCTAAAGTTTGTGCCATTTCAATGCAATAAACTACCCATACAGCCATGCTAAAAGTAGTTAAATGCTCTAAAGTACCCATGTATATTTGTCTGTATACCTACATGTCTTAGACCTTACGAAAGTCGCTGTACTTTTTGTTGTGTCAATAAAGTTCTCAGTATTTTGGCATTCATTGGCAGAACATTTGAGGTCAGATGAAATCACAATGAATATCTCAACCCAAAAGTCTACCCCAATGCAAATATGGACTATTACAAAATCACCCTATTACAAAAATCATTTTAGGAGATAAATGCCGGGCCACGAACATTTCTTATGTTTAAATATGCACTTTTATAATACAAGTTGTTCTTTGAATAGCCAAGGGGAAATCGCAAATCTAAAAATACCGCGGATTGTCCTGAAACCGCGAATTTTAGGCCCCGCGAATCGAAAGAAACTTACAGTACTTATCAGAAATTATATGTGCAAATGGCATACTCCTATTCCGCGATAGACTGGGCACCAGACCACCGTATTATGCACATGACTTGTCAACTGAAAGCATACACAAACTTACGCCAATCAATGGACCCTCTTTGGTCAATGGATACTTCCTGTACAACTTGATACTGTCTTTTGCCATGCAAAGATCTGCTTGGAGATTATTTAGGTATGCGACATCCTTCTAATCTACCCGTCAATACACCGATGCTGTAGCCAAATCCACTTTGGTCAAAACATATTCGTAATACCCTTTCACACAGAAGGAAAGTCATCGGCCGACGAAATTTGTCTACCTTCAGGTCAAGACGTAAAAAGAGGCTTGATCTTCGAATGACGAGTCGTCTTTTGAAATTTCAGATGCAACACAGCAAACTACTGAGATACCCACGACAGCTGGTCCTCTGTACACTACAGAACAAAATGAGTCAACCCTCCCAGGAACAACTGTTTCTCAGCACAGTAGCAGTCAGACAACACAACGGCCAACTCTTCCAGGAACAACTGGTTCTCAGCAAAGCACTCGCCAGACAGCACATTGGCCAACTCTTCCAGGAACAACCGTTGCTTCTCAGCAAACCACTGACCAGACCATCCAACGGTCAACTCTTCCAGGAACAACTGTTGTTTCTCAGCACACCACTAAACAGACGACAAGCCTAGCAGGTATAGATGACACAATATTTATCATTTGATCAATTCATTAGTTGTATAACTACAAGTTTGCGCCTTCTTACATACAACTACATGTTGATACATTGTACATAGATTTCTATCCAACAATTGTCATAAGTACAAACTGTATCATTCTTTTGCAGGAAGGGAGACTGCTAAATCTATCAATGCTGACTGCAAATGTGCAGAAAAACACACAGACAGACACACAGACACACCAAAACAATACCTCCGTTTTTCATGGAGGTAACAATTATCAGAAGTACAAACTATATCTTTGTTTTGCAGGAGGGGAGACTGCTAAGTCTATCGGTACGTGGTACAACAAGTCGCTCAACATCGCCCTGGTCTGTGTCTTCTGTGCTGCAGCCATCATGGGAATGGGGGGCGCGTTGCTGTACTACTGGGGCAACAGACGTCAAAGAAGACAGCAAGTGGCTCAAGATCCACGGGACGAAGAATTCACACATTAGAAAAATGTGGTAAAACGTTTGAGAACGTGGACAAAGCAAGCAGAATATTTTAGTTTTGGCAACTTTACTCACAAGGCAAATGTTATAGGAGGGACATTACTTTTGTGTCACTTCATTGTCAGACAGATAGCTACCTAATAGGGTCAAATAACATTTAGAAGTGTGGTGATATAATATTATAATTTGTTTGTACATGTAATTTTGGTCTATTCATACATAAGACTGATATGGAACCGTGAGTCCAGTTTGAAATGTGAGAGGGAGATGGAGTGAGATATGCTGTATTCGCTCACGACTAAACATTGGCCTTTTAGTTCATATGGTATTGTCCTAGAGCAGACCTCTGTTCTCTCAATCTGTATTTTTACAAAGTGGATGTAGTTATTACGTATGTCACTAAGTTGTGCGTTATCATCACTTATATCTCAAGTTGGAACATTATTCCCGTTTATGAAATGTAAGTAATGCACGAATACAAGATAAACATCACATAAAATAGCTTCCATTCCGTAATTCTTTTGAAAGAACCGTCTTGTTACTTATTCTATTTTCAACGGAGTTGTTATTGTACACGTTGTGTATTATCATCACTTATACATCAAGTTAGAACATTATTCCCGTTATTAAATGTAAGTAATGCACGAATACAAGATAAACACCACATAAAACAGCTTCCATTGCTATTTCTTTTTAAATTGCATCCGATGCAGTTGCAGGTTGGCAAACTGAAAATATTCTGAATAATTAAGATATTGATACATACTATCCCACACTAGCACATCTGAATCAGTAGTTCATTCTTTAGGTATTTCCTGCAGAAACAAGCCCCAAGATTAGTTCTTTATTTTCTAGGTGGTACCCTAAAAATCAAGCTAGGTCCTTCCAGTAACCGTTTTTCGTCAGAATTTTGGGAATTTGTGCTCTATGGATATCGATAAACATTGGGATAGTGTTGCTTCAACTTAGTTTGTAGATAAGTGACTCCAATGTTGACTTTGAAAAATCTAATTTCTAAGCCCTAAAACTACACTAGAAGCCTTTGATTCACAGGGGGCTCAGTCTTTAGACTTTTGAATGAACCGACTCGTTAGTTATAATTCTATTTACAGTAGTGGTTTTATTGTATACGCGTACGGGCACACAATGGATCCAGGTTGCTATGACATAGCTCTTGACATCACTGACGAAATTATATCTTAGCAACTCCCCCTTGTAGTCAAAGTAGCCACTTAGAGTACACAATGCCTCATTTACCACGCCATTTTAGGGACTATAACAGAGTTAAAAGATGTAAAGCTCTGACATTGATGTCGAAATTATATCTTCCCCAAGTCCCTCCTGTGGTCAAAGTAGCCACTTAGAGTACTACACAATGCCGATATTACTCCATCTTTCTGAGGACTATATTTAGAGTTTGAAAACCGTGTGACTACTACAAATCACAAACTATAACGTTACCGTCTTTTTCTCATGCCTTTGAATCCCCAATGGTGGAATAATTATTCAAGATTCAAGATATGGATTTATTGGTTCTTCGCAGTTAAAAACAACTGAATTGTGAACCAATTTACAAAACATTGGTATATCAAAACTACAGGTTTGCAATCAATATAGGCGAACGATTAACAAACCAATAACAATACATATTTCATACATTATAAATTTCCAACATTTCATACAGAACACTGTACTACATTTAAAAACACAACAGTCAGGGGTTCAGTCCATAGTTATTGAGGATATAATATAATATCATATAATTAGACTAAATGATTGATGAGATGAGGAAATACATAAAATCCCAAGTCAAAGAGGTTGTGTGCAAAGTCATTTTACCTTGTCAAAGATGTTTGCATTACAGAAGCTATTTACAAAACCGACTGTACTATACTGTGCACGAAAAAGCACAATGATTAATTTTACCATTGCCTGATATAGAAATACAACTGTACTGTGAATGAGAAAATACTTGCTTAAAATAAATCGAAATGTGGAAAAATACTTGACAACCAGGAAGGCCGACCTTTGCTCGGATGCAAATGCAGCAGATGGCTTCATCACATCCCCCGTACCAAAATGGACTTATCCCCCTCCCGCACAATGGTCTGTTCCTAAATCACCCCCGTCCATATGTGAAGTGTTCCAATAGTCTATACCCCCATGCAACGATGGAATCTTCAAACGCCTTCTTCTGTTAGAACATGTAGAACCAAGGTCATTTGGTTTTCATATTAGCGCACAGTAGCCAGTTTTGGTCAAAAATAGCAAAAAATTCCAATTTTATGTAATTTTAAAGTGACACTCGCCAAAAGCTTAAACAACGTTCTGTGATCTACGTGCTAAAGGAGACCGTCCGACACCATACACTATAAGCACACTGCTTTTGTTGGACAGGAGCCAAGTTCGTGCAACACCGATTTCAACGGCCAAAAAACTTGGTGGCCTAGCTACTGCCTGTTGTGAGACACGCGATCACAAACGCTTAGATACTAATTAATGGCTACAACGGTTACAACCCCATCTAATTATGTCATCATAGGACATAATAGGTCCTCCATTAGAATCAAAACAGACACTGTGACAAAAGTAAGGGTGGCCTGTTAGCAAGTTTATTGCCAAAGCCAGTTCAACAAATATAACAAAACGCAGGTACTTCACCCTATATTGACCATGTTGATATCAAGTGGTTTGCCGGCAACAGTAATAAAGAGCATTGGACTTCAAGTCACCTTTTGGATAAGTTAAAAATTCTATCTCTTGTTACAAATCATACGGTGTACATCCTGTTTACGGAACCTACGAAAACACCCCGTTTGTATAGTTTGTAAACTGAATTGCGTAATGAAATATACTTTCTTTGCCTAAGCATTTCAAAATAACTTTGATACTTTCCTGTTTTCTTTCTGTCATATCAACATCTTGACGAAAAAGTTATTTCTGTATATTGTATTCTGTATTATATATTGCTGTAACAATGGATATAGTTAGTGTTGTACTCTTGCCTTTGTTATTTGTAGTCTTGCCGGTTCTAGTGCCTCCCTCAAGCGGGGCCGGCCACCTGTTTGAATACGTGCGAGCGCACGTGCGTGCATAGGAGCCAAAAATCTACAGTTTTAGTTGAAAATAGCTACAAAATGCTGGGAAAGCAGCAACGGCCCTAGCACCATTTTTTCGCACACAAGGCCTTTAGGATAGAACTTTTAGATAATCATATCTCCAGATAGAATAGACGGATTTTTATGATTTAAAGCTTAAAATGTAGGGAATGACACATCAAATTAGTTGAATGCATGAACCAGGCTCAAATATGTTATCTGAATATATGACAGGTTTTGAGAGGTAAACATTTTAGTACCAAAAAATTGAATTTCAAAAGCTTATAACTACTCCTAGAAACGACATATCGAAACAATTTTTTTGTAATTCTTTTTTCCTGTTTTATCAGTCCATGAAGTTACATTAAAAATATCCATATTTGATTATTTTCCACTCCCCTTGGCATTATAAGTGCAAAAGGCCACGGTCCATATGAGGTCAAAGTTCAAGGTCAGATAGCAAGGTCAAAGCTGCCAATGTGCAACAGCTATGATATCAAAAAATATCCCACAGACACCCTATTTTTCAAAAACCACGATGAGAATTTGCCACCTCAGGTGGTATCGATATTTCCTCTGGCCCATGGACTATATATATAGTATATGATATGGTATAGTATAGTATAGTATAGTATAGTATAGTATAGTATAGTATAGTATAGTATAGTATAGTGTGTTGTGGTGTGGTGTAGTATAGTCGAGTAGAGTAGAGTAGAGTAGAGTGGAGTGGAGTGGAGTAGAGTAGAGTAGAGTAGAGTAGAGTAGAGTAGAGTAGAGTAGAGTAGAGTAGAGTAGAGTAGAGTAGAGTAGAGTAGAGTCGACTCGAGTAGAGTAGAGTAGAGTCGACTCGAGTAGAGTAGAGTAGAGTCGACTCGAGTAGAGTAGAGTAGAGTAGAGTAGAGTAGAGTCGACTCGAGTAGAGTAGATCATGATTAGATATGGATTGGTTGCTCCTGTAGTCAGTTTCACATAAATTTCTTACTAGTGTAAATAAGTATAAAAGTATAAGCAGAAGTGCATGGAGAGTAATCAGCTAGAGGTGGGAGTATTTTACTCTACCATCTCGTTGGTATTCATTACCTATAACAGCTAAGTTTGATTACATTTTGATCCTTCATCAGATAATGGCCAGTCTACAACCTATAGTGTAAATATTTATGGCTACTTTATGGCTGGTATGACATTCTATCAAGTTGCAATTGTAACTATTAAATTATGTTTGACTTTCCTCACTTAAACTCAAGCGAAAATGAGTATTGTCTTGTCCTGTATTTGTACTCTGTTGGTGGCGGCATAAAATAAGTTGATATAACTTGAGTGTGCCGTCGCCATGTTTGGTCATAAACTGTTGGAATATAAAAAAATAAGCTTGAGCCACCTTCAGTCTTTCCAACAAAAAAAGACATCCTTTCTCTCCCTTCAAAGTGTGTCACTCATACATTAACACCCCACTACAAAATAATATCTACCTTCATCAAATATTTCAAAATTCCTAGAGTAATGAAATCGTATAAAGCTAAGGTCCCAATTACGCCGGTGCCCGTCGGGGATGTAGCCCCGGCTGGCCCCGGCCGGGTTCAGGAGTCGAGCGGGCATCGGCTGTCGTGGTCACAATTAAAAGTTTCCTTCAGTAGCATTTTGTTAAAAATTTTGTCACCCTCTTTGATCGGTATCCGGCAGGCACCCGGCAGGTACCCAGCAGATTCTCTGACGATGTCTTGTATTGACCTATACGTAATACAGAATTCACGTATTTGTTGTGATCATTTGATCTGTGAGGTCACACATTTTACCCGGGTTTACGAAGTACACACCTTTATTCTGTTCACCTGGTCTGTGACGTAAGAAATGTGTCCCGGTGGAATGCCGGCAACCGGAGGGGTACCTCTCGGTGTTCTCACGATGAGGTCACGGCGTCTTTTTGTCAGCGGGGCCCGGGTAGAATTTAACTCAGAATTAAATTCTTATCGGGGCCCCGCCGGGCCAAAATATAGCCCGGTAGCCACAGGGTGCCCAACGGGGCCACGTCGGGGTCCCGCCCGAAAGTGGTAAAAAACAGCCCGGGAACTACCCGCCAGGGCCCCTTTTCCCAATTGGGACCTTAGCTTAATGATGGTTCACGAAGATGGACATGGTATGTTATGAATGTTCTTTGGATGCGTCAGTGATCTTTTAAGCATCCAACTAAGAATGCAGCTGCCCCATCAATCATTTACCATTCTGACCTGATTTTTTTATGTCAGACAATGGTCACCAACAGCCTGTCAAAGAGGTGTTGTGACATTTTACGGTTTCGAAGAAGGAAAGCCATTAGCCACAAATCAAGCAACCAAAATGCAGACCTAGTTTGCAAAATTATGTTTGATCAAGACAACCTTCAAGTTTGATCAAATTTTTACACCGATTCTTAAGATAGGGGCTCTGGAAGGAATAAAAGTACATTACGTACAAACCCAAAACTACATCATTATTGATGTTTGAGAACATAGCTATCAAAGATTGCTAGATGTTCCGTTTGACACCATTTTAGGTACTTTTCCCAAATGCTTGATTCGACATCAAAGCATTTCAATGCAAACGTGGGACTAATCAACAACAGTTACTGAATTTCAATACTTTGATATGTACAGTTTAGATGATCTGTATGCCAGTCGTACTACAATAATTTTGAGTCACCTTCAGTCTTTCCAACAGTAGATTCTTATGAAAAAGACATTATTTCTCAACAATCAAAGTGCGTCACTCATACATTAATAAGCCACTGAAAATGATAACTATCTTCAACAAATATTTCAAAATTCCTAGAGGAATGAAACCGTATAATGATGGTTCACGAAGATGGACATGGTATGTTATGAATGTTCTTTCGCTGCCTGAGTGGTCGTACTTAAGCATCTGACAAAGAATGCAGCCACGTCAATCATATACCATACTGACCTGATTTACAGCACTAGCCAGCAATAAGGGAGAGCCTATGTGGTAACTATAATTGCTAGGGTCTGCTTGGACTTCATTTGGGTTAATGTTATACGTTGTTTGGGCATACTCACTGAGCTTTTGTACTTGATGTTAACATTATTATAATTACTTCTTGTGTTCCTGAGACCTAGGGAATGTATAGTACATTTACCTTGTTGTAAGGCACTCTATATTGTACGGTACCTTATTATCAACACTTATATACATGTATTAACGTTGGTTGTACTTCTATGTTGTCTTGTATATTGTATGTAGAATATATAATGTTTGATGTTAACATTATTATAACATTATTATAATTACTTTCTTGTATTCCTGAGACCTAGCGAATGTATAGTACATGTACCTTGTTGTTAGGCACTCTATATTGTACGGTATCTTATTATCAACACTTATATACATGTATTAACTTTGGATGTACTTCTATGTTTTCTTGTATATTGTATGTAGAATACACTAAGGTAAACCATTTATGATTGTTAGAAAATATTTATTTTGTTGCCAAACTTCACCATTTCTTGTACCTTGTATTAAGATTTAAGTGTTGCACAAGTAAGTGTAATAAGTATGCACCATTACTGGACCCAGTAGTAACTACAGTAGTAACCCAGCAGTCGTTAGAACGTATTATATTGGGACAATGCTATACATTGAGTACAATTTTTGGGCCCTTTCGTTGCCTCTGATGTCATTATTATATTTGTCTTATTATTCATTATTATATTTATCGAAGGAAACATTGTTTTTGCTACGTTTCTTCTTCTTCTTCTCCAAACAGTGACCTTAATGACGTGAACCAATGTTGTGTCTGTTACCAGGGTAACTAGCAAGTATTACGTCTTTGCTCCCACATTGCTGTTAAACAAAAGTTGTTATCCTTGGATGTTTTGGTCACACTTTGATGCTTTCTTGTATGTTGTACTGGAGTAGATAGAATACACGTCAAGTCATTTGTTACAATTGTTAAATATTTGTAACTAACACATGCCAACCTAATGTATTAAGTGTTGCACAATAAAGTATATGCACCACATTCTCTTAGGTCTGGAGGTGTTGTATTGGGTGTGATAGTAATTGTGTTTGCTTGTACATGTTTATTATGTATTTGAATGCAACAGAGTGCCAGGGAGGGGGAAGAAAAGATTTTGTAACTATAGATTGACCTTGTGGTCAACTTGGCAGCTGCGGTAAAAATGGTCTGCCCACAGGCCGAGAGGAAGTGAGTACACCCACACGACACAAAAAACAGAAAAGTGACCTTGAAAATCCAGTTTTGCTGCCCTGAAACTACATTGAATGCCTCTAAGGGTTTCTAATGGAAACCTACCAAGCTTGTCAATGAAGGTTATTAGACATTAATGTCAATAAGGTGCCCCCACCCCCCCAAGTTCCTCAAGAGTAATGATTTTGGAAAAGGTAACGTTATATCCAGTACTTTTCGTCGGTGACAGTGGTGTGATCTCAAGGTCAACCTATCCAGCAGCTCTGAGGAAATACTCAAAATAAAAATAAACAAAATTCCTTCTTTAGTTAAAAAAAAATCTTATTGATCTCTCAAGTTCAAGAATTGACCTCTGTAAGATACTTAAGGGACACTAGAGTTGGGAAATGGGTGTCATTTACTGAACTGACTTTTTATGACCTTTTACTATAGTTAAAATGGTAGTATCAAAATGTGGAAGCAAAACTCATTAATGACACACTCCTAGCACCAACTAGAAAGAAACTGGTGTATTGCAGATCTAGAATAGTGACAGCAAAAAATTGTCAGTAATAGTTGCAATACACACACAGTTTCCAAGGTGGAGCTTCTGTACCTCCAAATTTTCGATGTCGACTGTACCTCTTGATCACGGAGTGACCTGGTCTCGCGAGAACTCTAGACTACGTCGAGACTTGTTCGGATCTTCTGGCCTTCCCTTCTGGCATCAAACGTGCCTCACGATTCTGAAGATTCGGAAGATTACTTTTCTTTGATGTAATTGTCTTATTATTCATTACTATGTTCACCGAAGGAAAACATATTGTTTTTGCTACGTTCTTCTTCTCCAATTTTGTCTTGAGGGCTTTTAAGCAGTTAAAACTGCATGGGGGACTCAGTCTGTTGTTTTGTCGATGAGGAGGGGATCGGGAATGAAGTAAGAACAAAACAAACAACATTCTGTGTATAGCATAATGAGTTATTGTTGAAATGCATACCGCGGTAGTTTGGTAAGTACATTACAGTATTGGAAGGCAGAACCCATCCGGCTGCTTCCACAGCCAAGTAAGGTAACCATTTGGGTGGACTGACGATAGTTGTGCAAAGTGCAAGGCAAAACGTACTGCCAGGAATGACAAGAATCAAACTCTCAAATAATTCCGATAATCTAGCCATTCTGACATTTAAGATCACAATAATGAAACATTGTATAGTAAATTGTTTCATATCCATCACACCATCACATTGCCCAGTATCGTATAGAATAGAATAGAATAGAATAGAATAGAATAGAATTGAATAGAATTGAATAGAGCAAGGAGGTAAAAAATCTAAAGCTCATTACATATATGGTGCTTTTGTCAAAACAGTACAGAATGGAAATAATTAAAATCGTAGGAAAGGATCTAGTTTTTTTTTCTTTTCAAACTAATGTTGACTATAGTTGATTATTGACTGTTGTTTTTCAATTTTTATTCAAATGTTTTCCTTAAGTAATATGTAAAAAGATGCCACCAATTTTTCTAGATTTTTAGGTACAACAGCACTAAAAATCATGCTTTGCAGAATATATCATCAATTATAATTACAGATTACAAATGAAAGTTACAGATTCTGTATAGTTATAAACACAATTGTTACCTTTACTCAAGAATGAAAAACTTCAGTCAAAATTACTATGTGTAAAAGTTATGACGCATCCATTTTTTATCAGCATGTTGATGATTCTAAAATGAGGTTTAAAATAATTAATTGTTTCTGCAGTACATAGAACTGCTACTTGATTTTCAAAGTTTTCAAACATGATTTACACAGAAATACAAAATGTTCTCTGCCTGTTCTGGGTAGGACAATAATTAAAGTAAATATTGAATGTTCCTGCACAGTGTGAATAGGTACATCTATCATCTGAACTTTTGTACAATTTTACAAAAAAAATATGCAATTAGAAGCTCTCACACAAAGTTGCAATTACTGTTTGTACAATGTGTCATGTAGGGTTAAGATTGAAGTCTATTATAATTGTTGTATACGTAGCTTACGTTGTCAGCTGCTAGTGTCTAACTCTAAAAACCACATTACTACTTCTTCTACATTTAATAAATTGTAAATGAAATATTCATCTGAACTTGTGTAAAGCTACAATTGTTACAAAGAGGTCATGAGACGCTCATACACTAAACGTTTAGTTTCAGGTATTAATAATAATTCATTATCTTTATAATTATTGTAAGCTCCTGAAAATCACTTGGAAAATTGCTGTTGAGATTTTAGCAATAAAAACTTCATAGGGTTGGAATTAATGGTTTCAATTCCTCAAGTAGCATAAATGTAACACCCTCTGCCCTTCTGTGGCACTAAATGAACAGATTTTTTTCTGCAAGTTTTGTTGTTTGAGTTTTCTCATGTATCTCACTACTTGTGTATCTACATGTAACATTGACAATTTTCGTTGCCACTCATTGGTTGCCCATCTGTCTCCTTCCTGCGGAAATATGGATTTAATCATGGTTTTACATTTTTTGTAGAGACAATTTAGCTGCGAAGCAGTTGGCTGTGTGCCATAAGACAGATTTGTAGCATCCAAGGATTCAGTGATAGCCTTGGACTGACCCTGCCCTGTCTGATCATGACCACTGGTCACTAGAATAGCTGTGGTGTTTATGTTGGATTCAGTGTTGGTCTGAGACTGACCCTGTCCTGTCTGATCATGACCACTGGTCACTAGAATAGCTGTGGTGTTTATGTTGGATTCAGTGTTGGTCTGAGACTGTCGACCCTGCCCTTTCTGATCATGACCATTGGTCACTACAGTAGCTGTGGTGTTTGTGTTGGATTCAGTGTTGGTCTGAGACTGATTGTGCCCTGTATTGGAATAATGGTTTTCAGTGTTTTCATTTTGGTAATAATGATCATTGGTCATTACAGTAGCTGTATTGTTTGTGTTGTATTCAGTGATGGCCTGAGACTGACCGTGTCCAGTATTGGTATAATTATGGTTTTCAATGTTTTCATTTTGGTAATGATGATTACTGGTCATTACAGTAGCTGTAGTGTTTGTGTTGGATTCAGTGATGGCCTCAGACTGACCCTGCCCAGTCGTAACATGATTGTCCATATCCACATACTGGTTATCATCACTACTGGTCACCACAGTACCTGTTGTGTTGGAATCAGTGATGGCCTGAGACTTGCCCTGCCCTGTCTGATCACTGGTCGTTTCTATAGGGTCCTTTATGTAGGCGTATGTATGTGGCACTTGGTCATCGGATAGATTTTCAACATTCAGAGACTGAATATTATTAGCCTGAGACTGACCCTGCCCTGTCTGATCATGATTATTGGTCGTGTCTACTGGGTCCTTTATGTAGGCGTATGTATGTGGCACTTGGTCATTGGATAGATTTCCAACATTCAGAGATTGAATACTAGTATTATTAGCCTGAGACTGAACTTGCCCTGTCTGAACATTGTCAACATCCTCATACTGGTGTTCATCACCACTGATCCTCCTCTTATACCAAATTATTGTCATAATGGTGCCAATGAGAACAATACCAAAAACTGGACCGGAGACTGAGGCAATGAGAACAGGTCGGGGTGCAGTTTTGCTGGTGTTTTTTGCAGGGTTTGCTGTTGAGCCCGAGGAGACAGTGGCATTGTAACAATTATTAGTGCTTTCTAATGGGCTTTCAAGCGGCTGTGTGACAAATATAGAGACTACAGGACCTGCTGTTGGTCTGGCAGTGCTTTTTGTGTTGCCAACTGAAGATGTTGTTTGGATATTATCAACCTTTAGTGATGTTATGGTTGGCTCTTCACATATCATTTCATCAAAATTGACATCTGTAATCTTCTTTCCTTGAAATTTGGCGGGTTGGGCACATGTTATCTGGTCTTTTAATGCAGGATTTAGCTTGAAGGGAGCCATCCTACAGTCACACTGCCAGGGGTTCCTGGTCAAGTTTGATGGTAATAATAGGTAGGAACGGGCTGAGAGCTGACAATGGAAAGGTCGACAGCTTGTTGTTCTGAAGTTTCAAACGTTTAAATAGGGGCAGATTTGCAAATGCACCAGGGTGGATCGTAGTTATCTGGTTGTCGTCAAGGTGCAAATCTTGCAGCTGTGGTAGATTTGCAAATGTACCAGGCCGAATTATTGTTATCTGGTTTTCGTACAGATATAACTTACGTAGCTGGGGTAGGTTACCAAATGCACCAGGCTGTATCATTGTGATACGGTTTTCCTCCAGGCTTAAAGACTGTAACTTGGGTATATTGCCAAATGTACCAGCTTGTAACATTGTTATCTGGTTTTCGTCCAGATGTAAAGATTGTAGCTTGGGTAGGTTTCTAAATGCACCTGACTGAAGATTTCCTATCTGGTTTTCTTGCAGACACAACAATCGTAGCTGGGGTAAGTTTTTAAATGTACCAGGCTGTATCATTGTTATCTGGTTTTCGTCCAGATGTAAAGATTGTAACTCCGGTAGATTTGCGAATATACCAGGCCGAATTGCTATATTGTTTTGGGGTTCAGCACCAACTTTTGTAGCCGAGGTAGATTCGCAAACGCACCAGTTTGAATCATCGTTATTTTGTTGTCGACCAGGCACAACGTACGCAAATCTCTATACTGTAACAGATCAGATTGCTTTACAACTGTAATAAGGTTCATTGCTAAATTCAACTTAGCGATGGATGTTGGGAGGTTCTGAGGGACGCTGGTGAGGCCCTTTCTGCAGAATGATGATGGTTTGTTACACTTGTCGCAGAAAGCTTCTGGCACGTTGAGTTCCTTCAGGATAATGAGAAGGAAAATCAGCATGTGTCGAAGCCTTTTTCCCATGGTGTCCTGTCACCTAAAAAGGAAGGCAATTGAAATATCAAAAGTAGTAGTAATAACCACGTATTGATAACCACTTGTTTGCTAGAACCGACGTTCCGATGACTGTCAGCCATCTCCATCATGGCAAAGTGGGTGGTACGCTATGCACTGAAGCTAGGTGTTACATTTGGAACTGCATATCTCACTGTTGTTGTTTATAATATATCTATGTATGTCACAAGCAATTATCTTAGGTTTTGGACGCGGCTTCAGTGCACAGCGAGCATTTTCTTATGGCCAGGCTTCTATGATAGCTATCTACAGTACCGATCATGGGATGTGCATCATCGGGATGCAGGATTTTTTTGGGATATCTCACAAGAAAATAGCTTACCTCCTAATGTCAGAAATGCAAAAACACTCAGTGTCTTCAAGACTACCTTTTCTTTACTCAACAGTTAATATGATTTGTTGTTAATTTTCCATTTTGCCTTTAGACATTGATATGCAAATTCAGTTCCATTATTATTTATATCATTTGTCATATTTATTTCGTATGTTTTATGTACTTTATTAGTCTGTTCCGTTTCTTTTATCATTACCCTTTGATTGTACTTAAGTTACCTTTTATTATGTTATTTATGTCACAGGGAGCTTTGAAAAGCTTTCAAAATGGCGATATGCTAGCCTGTATAAATAAATAAAATGAATGAAAATGAGGAATGAATATGTTAAGCCCTTCGTTCCGGTATATTTACTGCAAGTTTATAGACCAAAAAAAAAAAGAAAATGGGGCGTACAACCGTATTGTTGACACCACCAAGGAGCTTGATATAACATCCTTAAAACAACGATTACGTTCAGTCACGTATTACCCTGAACTTACTTCCACGCGGCTGACAAAGTGTCTTTTAGTAGGAAAAGCATTCTGGTCCTGCCAACCCAAATTACTACAGCCAGAAGTGAGCCAGGCTTATTATAATTTACTTTGAAAACAGAGTCGAATTCTTGCCAAAGCCGCGATACTTCGTAGCGCATGAACTTTCTAGGCACAGGAGAACCCGAATTTGATGTGTTTACTGCGGCAAAATTTGATCTAGATTCATTCAGGCGCAGACAATATCAATTGACCAGGTGAAAATTGAAACTCACTCGGTACCCTCCGTGGAACTTGTGGGAAAACGTTGTTTTGGGATTAAATCCGGATGAGAAAAATATTGTGGCGCGTGCAGGGCTAAGGCGGGAAATCGCTACATTGTGCCGACTCAAGGACATTGAACAGATGTTACGTCATAATGTCCTTGGCATGGACTGATCAACTACAATCGTCGGGCGGAATCTCTCGCGCGGAGTACAAGTCTTTGTAAATTTGCGACCCAGCCGGGGGGCGGGTCCTCGCGTGTGGGCTGTGAGCGCTGACGCCGGGTAATCTGCTGCGGACGTGCCGTTATAATTATCTTCAGGTTGGCAACGTGGCGCGGGAACCAAACCGGTCCAACAGCGTAGCGGGTGAAATATATCAATTTTGAATTGTCGTAAGGCCATTTTAATTTGATTATATGGATGACATCATTTGAGAACCCCAAAACTAAGAGCGTTCGAAACAGCGAGCAGATTATAATTGGAATGAGCAGAGCACTTTGGACTAATGCCTCTAACCGTTTAAAGCTTACAGGTACATATCCAATCTTTTGTCAAAAACTTCTCTGTTACATAGCGGATCATAATGACCCCAAGTGGGGGTCTTCACGCTTCGTTAAAAATTGAAAAATCTCAATATTTTAGACGAAATCTTGAGACCTTATGAGACAATATTGAGATTTTTTATGGCAATCTCAAGATCTTTCAGAAAATCTTAAGATGAAAAGAAAAGGTCTCAAGATCTTTCCAAATGTTTTCAAAGTATCTTGAGATTTTTCCATAGCATCTCGAGATGCTTTAAGAAATATCAAGATTTTTAAAGCAATCTTGAAAAAACGTGAGATCTTTTAAACAATCTTGAT